AAAAAAAAAAAAAAAAAAAAAAAAAAAAAAAAAAAAAAAAAAAAAAAAACAAAAATATGAATCTTGAATTGTAAAAAAATATTATATAAAATAATATTAAATAATAATAAAATAATTTAATCCGAATCAGTAACACCCATCATTGTACCAGGAATATAACCAAAAAATCCTTTCCAAGTCTTGCAAAATATTTTGTAAGCTCAGCTGCGTCAAACGCCTAAAGTAAATCATATTTCATAGAATTTTTAATTCAATTTGAAATTGAAGAATTTTTGAATGGTCCCATATTGTCTTTTACTGACTAAGAGATATGCAGCTAAAGCTTATAAATATATTTAAAATTATAAATATACATATTTACAAAGCTCGCTTATAATTTTTCTTTCAATAAGTTTTTCGCCCATTTCTCTATTTATAAACTTCACTTTGGTCAACTCTTTGCAGCCTCTATTTATATCTTCTCTTGGCATTACCCACACAAATGCTTACTCCTCCTCCTGCTGCTGCTGCTGCTGCACTTACATTTAATGAAAAAAAAAGAAGGCGCTTTATTATTAAATTACGCCCTGTTCTGTTGAGGACTGTGCCGCCCCCTTTGCGCTTGACATAAACATAAACTGGGCGTCTTTTGTCCTTTTCACAAAGCAGCAGCAGCAGCAGCGGCGGTAGCAGCAGGAGTTGGGCTGCCAAATAACGTATCCTGGCCGCCGGCTAAGCAACATAACAAAAAACACCTTTAATATTTTCATTATGAAGTCATTCAGCGCGATTATGAGCGCGTGACCCCCAAGGCGACTAACGGCGTCCAAGGCGCAGGATACTAGCTCGTTCGTCCACCCGTCCTAATGAACAACAACAGGACAACACTTCAGCTCGGCGGCTGCTGCTGCTGCTGCTGCTGCTGTTGATGAAAGTGGCTCAAAAGGCGTTCGGAGTGGAGTGTTTCGATGTTGAGGTAAATTACAATTTTCGCTTATAAGTGGCCGTCGTCGTCGTCGTCGTCGTCGTCCTGGCGGGTCCTGTTGCTGGCCAAGTGCAGCTGTACCCAATAATCATAATAATTGCGCCATGGGCGTCAACGTCGTCAACTTTTGCCAGACGCCAACGAGGCCAACAACAATTGCTTATAAAGTGCGTGTGACACATTAACGCAGGAAAAAAACGCGAGGAAAATAGGAAAAAAGCGCGGAAAAGTGCTAACCAGAACGGAGAGTGGGAGTGGGAGAGATAGAGAGAGAGAGAGAGGGCGAGAAAAAAAGGCAAATAATATGAGGGGGCCAGTGGACGAACTTCAAAAGAAATAAAAATAAAATGTTTGAAAGAAAAGTCCTTTAATGCCGTGAATTTTACGCGGGATTTCTATAAAGTGCAGCGCCCCGTTTGAGGGGGGCGGGGTCAGCTCAATTCCTTCAGTCCGCGGGGGTCCTGCGGTTGGTGCGTCGCAGTAAATTGAAAATGTTCGTGCGTAAATTGACTTTGGGTCAGGGGCATACGTATACGCATAGGCAAATCAGCCTATGCCTCCGCCTCCTGCTCCTGCTACGGCTCGAATTTGGAATGGAAACAAACCGTGGCCAGTTCCTGTCCTGTTCACCTCATGTCCGGGCGGGCACTTTTTGAAATTGAATTTCTTGGCGTAGCGGCGGAAGCAAATTAAAAAGAAATTAAGCCAATTTGCCCAAGCGTCGAGGCTGCGGCTCCATTTCAGCTTCAAGTGCCTTGTTGTGGCTCGTAAATCTTTGGCCCATAAATACCAGAAGCTCCTGGCTCCGTCCGGATCGCGTTGCGCTTGGCCGGCGACATCTCCAGTACGCCGTGAAATTCTTTAATCTCATTCAATTCAATTAGTTCGAGCTGACTAGTTAATGCCGCGCGAACCATTCGCGAATGTCCCTTTCATAGCGCCAGCTGTCCCGCTTAGGTGTGCCGTATCCCTGCCAAGGGCAGTTTGTCGTGTGGTCATGTCCTTTTCTTTGCAGCGCTTATGCCGTCTTTTGTCACTGCGCATTAACTTTTGAAATTTATGTGCCCCGAACCAACAGCTGGCGAACGCTTATCAGATTATATTCAAGGCCAATTAAGAGATAACCAAAACAGATTCGGGTTTGCATAACAATGCAGAGGAGAAAGTGTAACGGAACAGCACTTTGAATCAGTTCAAGACGTGATATCCTGAGAGTGTAGAACAGGATGTGAATGCGATGGGAAAGTGTGACCTCTACACAATTCATGATATTATATCTTAATCGATTATTAATTATATCTTGGGAAACTTACCTGGCAACCGAGTATACCCTTTTATATCTTATCGTATATATGTTATTGATTTGTGAAGCTTAGACGGCAAATACACTTTAAATTGTTTAATTTAAAAACTATAAGAAATTAAAATATATTTATAGAATTCCGTATAGATAAGAATTCATATCGTTAGGCGTACTAGAGCGGATTGAACTGTACGTAAATATGTGTATAAATAATAATAGTAATTCCATAGTTCCCATTACTGCCAGCTATACCCTAGGTGAAGCAGATGCAAGGTAGATTGATTGCTGCATATGAAAGTGTAAATTTCGTAGAAAGTTAACACAATCACATAGAAATTTATTAGAGATATTCGAGAGTTTACAACGAGCCGGGCCATGATGATGATCTGATCTGCTAAAAGCGTGTACACGTGTATGGAATATATCCAGAGATATACATAGAGATTGTCACAGAATATTGGTTTGATCGTAGGTTATTCGAATAGTTGAAAGTTCCCCGTAGCTGCTCTTGTTGTGGATGTTGTTTCGATTGACGGTGATTAAGTAATTTTCGCATTTTTGGCTAAGCTACACTGTTTTTTTGTTTTTTCCTCTTCTTTCTTTTCAATTTAGATTTATATATATATATATAAATATATATGTGGGTAAAGGGTAGTCCGGGTGGGTTTGGGGCCTTATGGCGCCGCGCCTTTCTTGCTGCCCCCTGGCTGCGAATCGTCCTTCTGCCCCGGCTGAGCATGCGGCAGGATCGGCGGAGTGGGTTGAGTCATACGCGGCTTGGCATTCCCAAAGATGCTGGCGGCCTGCTTCGTCTCGGCCAGGGCATTGATGGGCTCGGTGACGGTGCGCGGCTGCAGCACGATCTTGGGACGGTCATCGTCGTCCAGACTGGCGAACGGCGGGCTAGCGGTGCCATTCGATGGCTGATTGTACCGCTCATTGGGATTGTAGTGCCCACGACGATCGCGTGTCCGGTTCTGGCCGAAGTTCGTGTAGTGCCCGTTGTCGTTGCTGACGCTGCGCTGGCGCTGGGTGCCGCCGCGTCTGTAGTTGTTGTTGTTGCGGTCGTTGTAGCTGTGTGGGACGAGTGGGTTAGTCGGGTGGGTGAAGTGGAGCAGCTCATAAGCTTACCGATTGTTGCTGCTGTAGTTGTTGTTGCTATTGCCGTTGTTGTTGCTGTTGTTGCTGTAGTGCGGAAAACTGCGACTGCTCTGGAAGCTCGTCGACGAAATGTGCGACTCCACACACTGCCTGGGACTGCCCAGGCTGGAGGTGTCGTGGCTGCCGCCGCCCAAGGAGCCAAAGTCGCTGCTGTTGCTGCCATCGTTGGTCTGGTAGCCATCGTTATTGTGATGTCCTCGACCACCGCCGCCCCTGGCACCGCCCCTTCGTTCGACACTGCCGCCTTGTCCTCCACGGCCGCCGCGATAGCCGCCCTGCCGTGGGCTGCCCTCCTGCCTGTTCATGTGAAAGTTGCCGTTGGACGATCGATTGCCCACCGGGCGTCCAGGGCTGTTCTGCTTGCGCGAATACTGTCCCTGGTAGCCCTGCGAGCCGGCGCTGCCGTCGCGTCGAAAGTTGCGACGATTGTGATTGCCGCCGCCGCCACTGCCGGAGGCACCGCCGCCTCCACCTCCACCGCTGTTGGCGCCACTGTTGCCGCCCTGGCGCCGATGATCGGCAATGTCGATGCGCAGCGGCGCCGATAGATTGTCCAGTTTGATGCGTCCATTGCGAGAGAGCGCACGCTTCAGCTGATCCAGTGTTGTGAACTCAACGTAGCCATAGCCCTTGAACTCGTCTGTCTCGCGGTCCTTGATGAGGCGAACGCTCTTCACCTCGAAATCATCGAAAATCTTCATCACATCCCCCTGGACGAGGCCCTTGGGCAGGTTGCCAACAAACGCAATGTAGGGTGGATCTGTGGGCACTTCCCTGTTGCGTTCACGGAAGTCTCGGTTGCGATTGTGGAAGTTTCGATATTCCTGAGAGTTGCCTCGATAGTCACGGTCATGATTGTTGTTGTTACCTCTATCGTGGTTTGGCCGATCTGCCATATTCTACGAGCTTTTCAGTATTTAAACAATATATTTTTGAAGTCCGGAGCTCGTGTTCCCAGACGCTGTGGATACTGTCTATGAAAGACAATTGATTAAATCTGATTTGACATTCCACCAAAAGTCACTAGATCCGATACATTTCGGCCGCATGACATCGAAATCGATACATTTCTCATAAAGTATCTTACGACCGCCTTGTCAGTATCCTGATTGGAGCCATGTATTTATTAAAGTTTCTCAACCTGTACTTTCAATCCAAATTCCGTGCTAAATGGGGCGATCTGACGAGAAATCTTGTGCGCTCCCTGCGACGCAGACTGTTTTAAGGCCAAGGTAAATCATAAATGATGAATGCTGGCGCCTGGCCACGTTGCCCCCATCCAGCTCCACACCACGCCACGCCACGCCACTCCTCGCCTCTCCACTCCTCTTTACTGGCCAGATATGCAAGCAAAAAACATGTGTAAGCAGCAGCAGCAGCAGCAACAGAGTAGATGGCTCCATCTACATCTCCAGATTCAGCATTTGTGCTTGTTTGTGTTATGGATAATAAAAACAACAACTGCGACGTTGACGACGATGGCAACTACATGAAAAAGTCAACAGCAAATAGTGAGCAGCGGCAACAACAACAACAAGAGGACGGCGAGGGGGGTAGGGGAGCAAGAAGAACAACTACCGCGTTTTGTTTGCACGACGAACTCATGACTCATTTTTGTACATTTGTCAAAATTTTTGCCATACATCATTTTAAACAGCGCGCGACATCGTCGAAGGAGGGCAAAGGGGCAGGCTCGGAGCGGCTGAGGATACCAGTTGGAATAATATGCACTGCCAGACGAGTCACAGTGGTCCCAGAGACTCGTAATCAGAGAGTAATAAATTGAATATGTAATTAATATATACTGCAAGACAAAGTAATTAAAAATATCAATTGGACATTACATAGAAAGGAAAATTTAGGACGAAATTATTGGAAATTATTTAAGCGAATTAAGATACATAATTTTTAGACATTTATAGATATTAATAGATGCGTACGAAAAGGGAAATACATTAAAATACTAGCAATCGAAATATCAGTTGGATATTATAGAGAAAGAGAAATTGAATACGAAATTATTGTAAATTATTTATGCTAATTTTGACACATTTACATATATTTATAGATATTAATATATAAGTATAACAGAAAAGTTATATGAAATGGAAAATATATTTAAATTGTAAAAAATATGAAGTATAAATGCAAAAAAATATTTAAGTTGATGGGAACATAGATATATATAAATAGAGTATGCTGAATTCTGATAAGAAAATATTCAATATATTTAATTGGGAAATAAATTGATAAATGGCTACAATATATTTATAAAATATATTCATATAAGACATTTTATAAAAAATTTATGTATATAATATTTTTAAAATATGATGAAAAATATTTGAGATGGATTACAATTAATGGATGGATGAATTATCCTTTCCGGTCTTTAGCCTACTTGAAGATGTTAAATAACATTGAAATCAACGTTCGACGATTATTCCTATGCCGATTTTCATCTGACAGCTGACACTTCAAATGGAATTCATGATAAATTGCATTCAATTTGGGCCTCGGGAAATTTCCACCTTGCTGGGCAAGGTTTGCGCCAGTGTGCCATAGAGATTTTATGGTTTGGTTTGGATTCGGCACACGCCAACGCATGCTAAAAGATAAATCGTCAGCAACACGGAATTAAAAACTGATGTAGCGATTAATTTATCACTCACTGGCACAGCAACAAGCAGCTGCAAGAAGAGTTGCCAGCTACTGGCAATATTTAACTAACAAGTTGCAACTGTGTGTGGGGGGGGCATGCCAAACTTGCCACACGCGGGCCAGTTCCTTTGGCAGCCTCAGCAGGAGCAGCTACTGCGAGCGAACTATGAACCGATGCGGACAGTAAATAAATTACGAGCAACAAATAAACGCGCTCGGCTGCATCGATGGACGGCAAAACAAAAAGCCGAGCAAAGGCAAAGGCAAAGGCGATGGCCATGGCCATGGCAATGGCAATAGAGAGAGAGAGAAAAAAAGTAAAGAGCGTAGCGAAACGAGAAATGTAGACAAACAAAGACAAGAAAACGGAAACGGAAACGCTTTCAGCTGTCGAATTTGTATGAGCTGCTGTTGCTGCTGTTGCTGTTGCTGCTGCTGCTGCTGCCCCTAGTTCCTCTTGGTGCTTGCTCCTTGAATGCCAAATGCCATGTTCATCCTGTCTTAGGAGGCCAGCTCCATTCGTAAGTGTTCAATCATTTGATTGTTGCAACAATGCAACAGCAAAAGTAAAAGAAGTGAAACACCGAAAAGGATTTATGCTCATCGATCAGAATTAATGAAGATTTTGTTTTAGTGCCCTGACAAAGCTTTCGGTTGGGCAGAGGGCGCGGCATTGGGGTTGCTGTTGTGGATGTCCAAAGCAGCTTCAAATAGAGCATTTGTTGCTAATCGTTTTCGCCAGGCCAACTGCCACTCGAAGCACTTGCGAGCCGGGCACTAACCGTAAATGCTCGAGTATTACACTACATTAGCGAAATTAAATTGATTTTGCGTTGCGCCTGCTTCGATTATTCTTCTTCGTTTCGATGCCCTTGCAACCCTGGCGCATCGTTTCGCTCAAGAGCTGTTGATAGCTGTATTTCACCACCTTTTAACTCTTATTAAGCGTTGCGCTATCTCTCTCTCTCTCTTTCTGGAGTTCGCTCTATCCCCCTCTCTCGCTCTCTTGTTTGCTTGATTTATGCTGCAGTGCCCGCAAGTATGCAGCGTAAATATTTTTATGACCCAATATATATATATATATATATATATATATATATATATATATATATATGATGCCTGCCCCGCCCCGCAGCCCACTGCACTTGTGCCTGAGCACACGCACACTCATACACATGCATGGGAATATCGTATCAGCAAACCAGGAGCAGCGGCCCACACTAATCATATTAAATGAAATTCATACGTCGCCGCATTTATGCGATTTACTCAGGGACTCGTGAGCCACTAGCGAGGGTTGCTAAAACGTTTCATATGACGCGCAATGTGATGTGCGTATTGTTGTTGTTGCTGTTGTACGTTGGCTGGCTGGCAACATTTTCGTTGTCGTTTAAACTAATTGAGTGTTACAAATTTTATGTGCAAAATCTTTAAGCTAAATTGAAATTTGTTTTGTTTGCCTTTGGCCTGGTCTGGTCTGGACTGCTCCAGTTTGTTGTTGCTGTTGTTGTTGTACATTTTTCACATATGATGCGGGTTGTATATGAACCCATTTAATGTTATGTTCACATTTCGTAGCTGGCATCCGTAAGTGCGTTGAACCATTTTAAAATTGAGGTATGCCTATCACTTTCCAAAATTGCCAACCAAATGGCAAATATTTTTGTGTGTGTGTTTTTTTTTTTTTGCTTATAATTTATTCAATGTGCCTTGAGTAGAGAATGGAATATGTGTAAGGGATGTATTTAGCTTATTCTTGGATATAATATATGGTTAGGCTTGTCTTCATGCACTCTGAATTAACTTAAATACTTACCTTAGCTATCGCTAGACTCAATAAAGAATTTCATGATTGAGAGAGCATATGAAGTTTGCAATCAGAGAGTGAGAGAGAGGGAGACTATGATATGAATTTATGATAATTTTTAATACATTCATAAATGAAACAGATTCGGAATCCAATACGAACTTACGTCTTGAACATTTTATCATCTATTTCTCACATTTACTATGAAAACTCTTGATTCTAACTAGACAATCTCTGCACTGTTTATGACTAAGGTAACTCACTCTGAAAATGTAGACACTGTATACGTAAACTTATTTGATTTCTATCTCAAATTCCATAATTTTGAAATGAACTTCAGTTTTGCAAGATTTTGGCAAGATTTGGTAATTGCGTCGCATTTTTGGCCAATTTACATAATTTATGAGGCCAAGTTTGGTGCAGCCCACGCTGCTGGCTTGGGCCAGAAAGAAATGCATACAGCTCGAAACAGTTGGCGCAGATGATTTGTGATCGTGGCGATTGGGGCCATTGCAGCGACTTGGCTGGCGATAAGAACTAAATATTTGGCTGTTGTCGCGGCTTGAATGCATGGCTTATAAACAAATGTGCTGGGCAAATTAAACTTATGTCTGAGATTTATCATTTCTATGGCCATATATCAGCGCTCGAGTGGCAGGCCAATAAAATATGGCACTTGTTTCAGGGCCTGGCCAAAACAGGCAATTACCAATTGCCAAAAGCCGCCCAAGCGCAAAGCTGTCGCGAAATTTTGAAAAATTAACAATGTGAGCTGCGTAGGAATATCCACATACTCATCGGACATCGAGCGGCGAGGCTACAGAGCAAGAGATATATAGACATGTATATGCATGTAGTATACAGTTCTGTTCCAACTATAGATTTATGCCAATTTAAAGAGACAAAACTTGTAGTCGAAAAGCTGCTGATGCTGATTTATGGGCTCTCGCATGAATGTTTTGCCAAAAGGGTAGGCCACATGCTGGGGAGGAGGCTCCCCGCTCTCTCCCGACTCCTAAAGCTGGTCATAAATTATGCGTATGATCAAATTGCTACCTTCATGTGGTAGTCGCTCAAGTTTTTGTGTTGTGCTTTCAATTAAGTCAATTGATTTTAATTAGACCATGACTTAAACATATTTCATAAGCATATTCCGAAGAAATGATTATTATTAAACACGCGACTCAGCGAGGGGCCGCCGCCTCTTAACGACTCTTACCTCGCTGTAACTCAATATGTGAGCCGCAGATACCCTGCCCGTTCGGCTCAATTAGTGGGAATTACGCGTAGATGTGGCCAACTCGTCGCATAATGCACCAGCAGCAGCCCACATGTAATGCCAACTGCGGCAGGGTAGCATTGCTTTCAGTTCCAGAGCTCCTTAATTGGTGGCACACACACACACACACACAGAGAGAGAGAGAGAGGGAGGGAGAGGGAGATAGAGCGGGACTCACATGCAACGTGCTTCAATTGAGGTGATCAACGTTAATTAAAAGCCAACAAAAGACACAACTGAA